TATGTTCAATACCTTGCACCCTTTTCTAACATTTCTGCGGCTCGATCAGGAGTCATGTGTGCCAGATAAAGATCACTGGACTTTCTATACATCTCGGCCGCGCGTTCGGGCTGTTTAAGTTGTTGGGCGGCTAAATTAGCAGCTGATTCCATTGTTTTCGCGGCCATGTATATACTAAAGGTAAAAGGATAAATATATGTATAGGATTTTCTTAGGAAATGAGTATCAAATTGGAGAAAGATGTAAAGAAACACACGAGTCTGATTTGAACAGCGCATCTGAAGCTTTTTGATAGGCTTGTATTGCCTGGTCATATGATCTCGCCGCTTTGAAGCAAGAAGCTACAATTGTGATAGGTAAACGGATAAACAATAAATATAGCAACACGAAATGTCTTTGTTTAGACAATTAGGATAATTGTAAATTTCGATTTTTTCAAAAAGTACCAGCTTTCTCATAATTTTGTCCAGCGACATCCCATTCTGGCTTTTTGAACCAGCCCTTTTCAGTGCTATAAACAATTAAAAACGAGTGATTAGATGTCAGTGACTTTCAATTTAAGAGTATTAATTAATAGATTCGGCTCACGCTTTGTCTCCCTCAGCCAAAAATTTAACGGCTTCACGTATTTTAGTGCTTTCCATTTTTTGCGAATTGGAAACCTCGAAGTATAATGTTTTTAATATGTACGTTAAGCTATTATTTTCCACATTCGTCCAAGTGCCAGATATAGCAAATACAAACATTTCCAATTTCTGTATACGTGTACATAAGAGGATGCCAGAGTGTTGGGTGATTGCCTTAAAAAAATACGAGATCGCGTGATCTTCCTAGTTTATAGAGTTTGTACATCCGTAAAATAAAAAACTGAATCAATTTTTTCGAATGCTATTCTCTTTCTCACTTTAGAGATAGCTTGTTAAGAAAATCTTCAGACGAAATTCTGTCCTCACTGCTAACTGAAGATTACCTATTGAAAACAAAAAAGTGAAAACTCTGACACCTCTATTGTGAGTTATTTTGTTATTTTCAACTAGCTGGCTCGTGAAGCACCCTAATATTAACCCCATGAAGTACTATAAAGGGCATAATGTTCTCAGATTCTTCTTTTTCGCCTCTGGATACAGCTTCTCCATCTTCCTCTTC